ATATTTTATACTATATATTATTTCAGATTGATTGATTGTATTATGTATTCTTTACTTTTAAACATCGAGGTGGATCCTTTTATGCGGAAATTTAGTTTTGAGTTCGACACGTCTTTTCCATGAGAATGTGTTATATTGAATATGTTACGATAAATATTATCTGCCGTATTTCCCGTAAAGGACTTGTCAAATTTTTGATATACTGTTTATTTGAATTAAAGGTTTAAATTTTTTATGTTCGTAGGTGTCTGATAACTTCAGTTTCATAGGAGTTACCAGAGTTAATTTGAAAAATACCAAGACAAGGAAGACAAGTGATTTTCTCTTACAGCTGTTTACTTAACATGTTGGCAGATAAAGCCATGAGAAGTTCTTAGTTTCATCGCCGAGAGACAGACAGCAAAAATACACGTACGTGTCTTAAAAATCCTTGAAAGCAGGTTGGGTTGGTGTCTCCGGCCATACCTGCAGCACGTGATGGAGGGAGAACATGCGTCCCTATGGTTTGAGTGCACCTTCATCATTACGCTAAGACATTGATTCAGCTGGCGCGTCAAGGATGCATGATCATTCATTTCTGACAAAGGATTCGAACTCTGCGGATGTGATGGGCATTGTCACACCTGTTACCACAGTGAACCGAAAACTCACCTTGAACTTACGATCAACTGCAGACCACCTGAACAATCTCTGAATTTTACCTAATCTTTACCTCGAAGAAGGCCTGTGAAACACGGGTCGAAACTTCGGTATCGGTCAATGTTCCGACCGATTGACTACCTTCTGCATTGGGGATAAAATAAACTGCTTTTATGCTGTTTTTCAGTATGATTACCAACGAACCAAGCAATGACTCAATGTTCAGACTTTGTTCAGTATTTTAGTATTTAATTTTCCATGAAGTTACGAAATCTCGTACCGCTTTCGTCTAGTTTTTTAAATGGGGACAACTGCGACACTTTATTCTTGCCAATAGTGGTTTACCGCCTTGAGATGAAAGATCGCTAGGGTCTTGTTCAGGGTTCAGAATGTTCTCGCAATCGAGATTTCATCGATTTAGCTAATTCCAAGCTCAAAATTCCTTAAAATTTTGTTTTGAATGGTATATGTTTAATTTGTTAACGTTTCTGTTTAATCAATTTTAGTTCATCGTTTCAGAGGTTACAGATTTTGAAGATAATTAGTATCGAGGTGTTCGTCAACTTTTTGAACAGAATGGATAAACGCGTTTCAGATGCTGCTACGTTATTGGTGCAAAACTGTTTTAACGCCCTCGCTGGCATGAATCCTAAGGAACAGCAAAAACCTGATGATCAGTTAGTTAAAGGTATACGCAGTTTTGCATTTTGCCATTAGACAATGTCGCGTACCGAGGGTTATTCAGTAAATCAGATCGTTCTCACGGATATGCTATTCGAAATGAAACAGATGCTCATCAGATCAGATGTCTGTGCAGCTGCGCGAAACGCCGTCATTGGACTTTTGATGAAAAACCTGATCCACATGGACAACGGACTTCCGCGGGGCTGGTCATGGCGTTTCGTAGAAGACGACGGTAAGTAGTTTGAACCTGATAATGACAATCATGATGAGGATGGCCCCTCTTCTGTTAAACTTAATCGTTATTGCGGCTGTATAATGTCGATTCGACTGTCTTTCAAGCAGTACATATGTGAAACAGGATCGAAATGCAGTGCACAGAACATGGATAGCAGTAGCGCAGTAAAACTGGTTTTCTTGCTCATTCGATATATGATAAATGACGACAGAGCACGAAATTTTGTTACAAATGGAATGTTTTTCTTCGAGGTTCATGTGCAGTGCACAAGTTAGAACCTCGCTGTTTTCTTTGATGCTTGATGATTTATAATGCTGAAATATTTTGACCTACGATTACTTGATTAAAGACCGGTAGACAGTAGTAAAACTTCACTGTGTGGTCGATCTTTCGTGGAGTATAACGACTGACAGTCATCAGAGCAAACGATCGACGTCAGTTCTTAAACTGTGTGTATCGACATTGGCCGAACATTAAGAACTCTACAGGACACTTCTGTTACGTAGATAATATCTCTTCGTTTCTAACACTGCACTTAAGACTTGATGCAATTTTTGATTCACTGTATTCTATACAGACATTATCAGTTAGCTCCTCAATTTATCAACAGTTGCAATTCTATTGCTCACCTTTTGGAAAATTGGATGTCAAACGCGCCTTGCTTTCACATTATTCGTTTCAGATTTATGCTGTAATGCACTCTCATTGTCGTTAAAATATTTATTCAATCAGTCATTTTCGATCATTGCATATCCTTTTGGATCATGCAGACATACACATCGGACTGCGCTTCCAACGTTTTCGATACGGTACAAGCGTTTGGGCTTTGCCAGTAGATAACACGAGTTCAAAGAAAAGTCCTTCGATACACTTTTCTAGCTATTCTTTCCCCTTCCCCGAAGTCTTCGGCCGGTCGGCTGTTTCACCTTCTTTTTTTGAAAGAAACATTCGCAAGACGTGCCCAACCCGTTGCAGCTGTGACATTCCAGTCTGGATAAGCAGCGACTGTACACCAAGGCTTTCACAGAAATCTGTACTGCAGACCACATCGAGACTTGTCAGCCAGCGATAGGGCCTCAACAAGAGCATTTTAACCGCTTGTACACGGTATCGAAGTTTTTCAGTCATAGCCCATATTCATGACCGTAAGTGAGCGGCGGGATGAAGAACGACCAACACAGAGAGATATGTCTTCAGAGTTACCTATACTTTAGTATCGATGGTTCTCGCTAGTTGACGCAGAACGCCGCTGGCTATTCCAATTCACCGGTCCATCTCTTCTTCCTGTTTTCGTCGTCTGTGAATACTGTCCCTAGCTACGTGAATTTTTTCACTTTCTTTACTATTCCCCGATTACCTGAAGAGCTTAGAAGAACGACAAAATACCAAACTTTTCGTTTTAGTTAACATACATGCGGGCTACGTTGCACTGAGTTTGGAGCTTTTCTAGCGAGCGCAGGAAATTTGTTTTAGAAGATACAAACAAACAGGCTCACCTGGAAAGTGCAGCTTTCTCGTCTCCACATCACTCACGCTGAAACACTCATTGCCTTGGCTACGCCTTACTATTCTCTCCATGTACAACAAAAACAGGAGAGGGGACGGAACGCAGCCTTGGGGGAGACCACTGCCAATGCTGAAAGTTCTCGACATAATGTCATTTATTCTGTCGCAGCACTCGCTATCAGCATGTAATGATTGGATGGCTGGCAGAAACTGATAACCAATCCCATATGTTTAGACACATTTACAGCTTTTTGTGTCGGTTCCGGTCAGAGGTTTTTTCCAGGTCAACAAAACACTTGCAAACCGGAGGAGCGAGCTCATACGATTTCTCAACAATCAAATATAGGACGAATATCTGGTCAGATGTGCTTCGATCGGACTGAAAGCCATACTGCTCTTGTATATTGGAGTCAGTTATTCTGCGGCACCTCCTGTCTAGCACTTTTGCGTAGACTTTACCTTGGGTTCAATATGGTAATACCCTGATATTTGGAACACTCCCTGTGGTCTTCCTTCTAGAACAGGAGTACTACAACTCCCACTCTCCTGTCCGCTGGTGTCTCCCTCGTAGCCATTGCAGTTTGGCAGACACGAGTAAGCCAGCAACTCGTTGTTCACCTATTGTGTGAAGCATTTGAAGGCGGATTACATCAGTTCCAACAGCCTTCCCAATTTTCAAGCTTTCCACAGCTCGTGTGATTTCGTCTACACCGATAGTAATATCTGTTCCCTGCTGCTCTACAGGCGAGTCTTGCGGCTGCGCGGGGTTAAGGAGTTCCTCAAAGTACTCTCTCCATCACCGAAGAATGTCATCATCCTTGGTAAGAGGGTGTCCATACCTGTTCTTCGAGACTCTTACACTGTCTCTCTTTTCTCCTCGGAACCGGCGAGTGGTCTGTCAAAATACTTTGTTAGCCGTGTGGAAATTTGGCTCCAATGCCTCCATTAACTTCTCCTCTGAGTGAGCTTTTGCTTTCGCCACTTCTTTTCTTGCCGCTTT